CAAGAGACCTGAAATAAGTAAATATACTACTATTTGCATAGGCACCGCGAACCTTTATAGCAACGATAACTGAGAAAAGCTAACCATACTTACAGCAATGTTACTGAACGGATATCAGAAGTGATCAGATATTGATCATGAGCAACTATCAGCTTATAGAAATCAATACATTATCTATTTTATAAATAATGCGTATATGCATTGTTAAACAGAACGAAATAATATCAGGGTGATTTTGAAGACAACTTAGGTCAATGGATACATAGTATATTTGTTCACTGTCAGATTAATATAAGAAAATATACTAGTAATTATTATTGACGTAAACATATAATATTACACGGTTCACTATATCCACGTCGCGACAGAGAGGAAATGGTACTGACTAAAGCAATACTTCTGTTTAATCATCATAGTTTCAAATGTTTACACTTTGTCGAGGAAGACTCGAACCGCCCTCGTCTCGCTCTCACCTAGGTTCTGCCATCCTTACACAAACTGCTAGCTCGAATGTCTCAAACAATGCAATAGGTCCTGAAGTTTACAGGACTGTGAACAGGCCTGTAAACAATCTCCTTACAGCGGAGCATTCTGTGCCGGGAGAGAAACGAGGGTATTGAGAGCTGGGATGGGGTTTGAACTATATCCTACAAGTTGCCGTGGGAATATCCCATAGGTCAATAGAACACTTTTATGAGCGCCTCGTACTTCTGTCACTCACAATTATCAGAAACAAAAGAATAGATGTTTTTAATGTGAACAGCAAATTGCCGCAAAAGATCACTATGCATATCAAGCATAACTCACATGTGTATTGTCATTGGATCCATCATCATCACAGTGGGGTGTCATAAACGATGCAGGAACTGGCGCCCTGGAAATAACTGTAATTCCACGGGGTATTCAGTTCGGTTTAATTCGTAAGTGTTTGCCATTGGCCCATGGTTACATTTGTATTACAATGGGCGTGATGTACACAGATGTTATTGTTCTGACAATAATGCACTTCGAAGTGACATCGCTTGATAGATAAAGATAGCCAGCCATTTAATTAATTTACAATCAGTGGTAGCCATAATCATATACATTTTTTGTTTAGCTGAAAAATTGCAACAGTTCTTTGGTAAGTGATCCACCCATATCTTGTTATAACCTGGGCTGACCAGCAGAAAATGATACTCGTCCTCCACATACCCAGCGTTACAATCACAACATTATCTTCTGTCAAGTGGGATATTAGCATATCTCCAAGTTTCAACATATAGCTGATGCGAAAAACATCTAAACCGAGTAAGCGCCACTCTGAATGTATTGACATACAGAGCGTAGAGATACCTTGAATAGAGAATAAGATAAAGATTTACTAACCTTTTCCAGAAGTCTATGCCAAGCCTGTTCATAACTAAATTTCAGATGCACATAAATTCTGACAAAAATGATTGAGGATGACATATACACTGTATTCCCACACAAAGCCAAAACCCAAACTGCACAATAAAGATTTACATTTTTTGACCCAATTATTTTTTCTCAAACTTTCTGCCTGGAGAATCATACAAAAAACTTCTTTCGATAGCGACAATCGGACATACTCTATAACTTTATCCAATCACCAATAACTCTTTTTTTTATGCATAAAAATATGAAGGATAACTCCCACATTCCCCTCAAAGCATGTTGTTGGGTGTTGACGATTTGACACCGAGAAAGCGCTTGCAAGCCAATGAATGTATGGTTTCTAATTCCTCGTCGTGGCGTTGACCCAGACCATAGAGCAAAATTGGAACTGTTTTCATATCGAATATATAGAGGATGTAATTTTGTCAATGACTTTCAAATTCCCCAAATTGCCTTTTTCCCTTGTAAACCAGCATTAGAGAACTGACTTGACCAGGACAGGCTTCTCGTCAAAGAAACGCCCAAATACTTGAAGGAAGATGCACATTCCAACTTTAGATCTTAATAAATCCAAATATCTTTTCTTGACAACACTCCTTAAAAACAACCACCTTAGTTTTATCCAAATGACGTCTGAATCATAATCGTTACAATACTTATACAACATCAACACACTTCTGAAGTCCAGCTATGGTATCTGAGTTTGGAATAGTATCGTCTGCAAACAATATATTTAATAGCACGGGACAAAAATATCACGAGCATATTTTAAAAATTCTGAAGTGAGAGGTCATTTCCTGCGGATTAACCACATTTCAAAGAGTTCATAGCACCTACAGTGAATAACTGTAAACAGGCATGTAAACAAGCTCGGCCCAGCACTCTATACCGGGTGGGAAACGAAGTTTTGAACTCTACTCTACAAAAGTGCCGTGGCAATATCACCATAGGTGAACAGCAACTTTACTGCAAAACGCCATGATTCAGATCAAACAGATCTCACTTGTGTAGTGGATTGTGTAATGGATTCTTTATCATCAAAGGGGAATGCCTGAAACAAAAGAGGTTTGTGAGGAAGTGAACTTCTGGAAACAAATATCATTCCACGAGGTAACAACATGGCATTCTAGGTAGACACGACATTTGTAATCATGGTTACGTAGCAACAATAAATACACCAGGGTCCACTTGTACAGAGCAATCTTAGTGCTACCATTATTGTAAATCATGCAGGTTACAATCTTAGGCTTCGGCTACCATCGTCATACACTTGCACAAAGCGATTATAGGCTAAGATCATTGTAAGCAACAATCGAAATCTACAATTGATCCGGACCAATCTGAAGTAGATAAGACGGCTGTAGTCCCTGAATAAACTTGACAAAATGGCGTGCAAAACAGGGGCTTGTTTTTACGTAAATAATCTGCTTTACGTTCAAACATTGCCTCTTTATTTTGTAAAAATCTATGATTCAAATCGACACTTTAACAACATGAATAATACACCACATATTTAACGTTAGAAATACCGTTAACTGCGACCACATAACTATTGAGTTCATAGCTATAAGAATTTTCCCACCCGACTCAATGCTGAAAGAAGTGTGAAACAATATACTATTTCGCTAATCCAGGGAAGGATGAAAACCTAAGTTGTCTGCAAGCGAGTAGTAACATCCGTTAACTTTTGGATAACTCAAGGGCAGCTAAAGTATAAAGTTTATACTCTAGATGGTAGTGGTTTCCCTTAGTGGTTTCCCTTTGTATATAGCCCAGAGAGTTGATTCTACCAGTGTATTAACGTTGTAGAATCGCTGAGCTCCCCCTGTATTTCTTTTGGCCCACATTCATGTCAGTTATTTTGGCAATAGTTAATCATTATATTAATCTACAAATAAAGTTGAATTGCAAAATTATTTCCGTAATCTATAAAATTGATAAATCTCTTTTGACATTACTGATCGGCTTCTTTATGTGTTTTTTGAAACTTCACTCCATTGAGTTGGATGGGTTTTTTTGCTCTCTATGATGGGGATGACACGAGATGATAGAGTACCTCCTATAATAAGGATTAGAATACTTTCACACACCTTTTTACACCTTAAATTTTCAAATATTGTTCAAATTAAACATGGAAAACAAACAAACACGCTGAAAGTAAATTTGAACTCACTCTAAAGTTGTGTCAAAGCCTGTCTCAACAGGAGAAAAAACAATGAAATCTTCCTTTGAAGTAAGTTCTGCATTGCTCACATCCCAGATATAAATTCCAGTGCCTGCGTTCCATTATTACAATTTGGTTACTGAGGTTACCATATTTCTGTCCACCAGTGTTATCAAACAAAACGAATAGATTTCAACCTTAGACATAATAGAAAAAGCCGTCACGAGAAGGACATGTGTAATGCAATAATACATAACCATGAGAAGTTTTTATTGCTTGACAGATCTACTATGGGATTAATTATCCGTTTACTAGTCAGTACCTGGTATGACCACCATTAGCAGGGACAAAGATGGTTAAGGAAGGCTTGTCAGATGTATTCAAGATCTGGACCAATAAATTATTATCTTGCCGACGTGACGTTACTCTTGGAGGTACATTGGTCATGGTGTTGCCAGTCTGTTAATTTTGACTCCAGAGGGACTGTATGGTGTTATGGTGAACCCCAAAAGGCCTAGCAAGGTTTTTAACAATTCCAGCTTCAAGTCTTCTAATTGCACCGTTAGTGCAAATGCATTTCACATTTTAAACACTTCAACGTCTTTTAAATGATTCAGCCCCAAGTGTACTGTGAATGTGTGACGAATTTTGTACTCATGGGATTTTATGCATGCAATTAATGACCGGGATACATGTGCAATTTCAGGGGCATTATGGTTCATCATGACAATGTGTGCATGTGATTACCATGCTTGATTCTGAGAAAACATCAATTTCATTTTAAAGTGATTTGTTATGGTTCAGAGGAATGATCGTCTACTAGTATGTAAACATGAAGTATATATACTCACGTTTATGACATTTTTTTACAGTTTCCCATCATGCCAATAGATATCGTAATTGAAGAAGCACATTTTTACGCCTATAAAATCATTTCCTTTTCCAATATCTCTACAAAACCGAACATCATTGTCTCGATAGCGCTCTTTTTGCAATTGCTATATATTAGACTCACCTTTTATTATGTTTAAATGGTTTTCGTAGTTGAAACTCTTCTTCTATCACCCTTTTCCTCCTACTGCGGACATACATCAAAACATAAAATGTTATGCAATCGATAGAACCTTTAAATCGTTGGAGGTTTCGAACAAAGCTATAATGTGATCTCTATGCGGCTAAAGTAATGGCGATGAGACGTTGAACTCACTCACTAATTGCATTTAAAAAACATGTCAAGCTATGTCCTATGCTAGTTCTGTACAGACTATCTTGGTAAGGACTCCTCCTTATCAGTCACCAACACAGTCTCACTGCCATTATGATCGAAATACCAAACACACATAGGTGACACAAATTGAGATATTGTTGCAGCTATTTGTCCTTTCCAGTACATTATCGAATCGCAGCTGTGAAGACAGCCACACTGATGCCAAAACAAACATTGTTCACCACACTGTCTGCATGGTCGACTCGCCTGATTAAATTGTATGCATTCACCACGTTTTCAATTCAATCTCTTTGCACTCAAAACCATGTCCCGAACTTTGGTAGATAAGGTTGAGTGAACAAGTCCACTTACATGATCTTCTTGTGTATGCGCCACCACAGACACAGTATCACAACGATTGCAATGACCAGCAGCAGAACCACAGGAACAAACACAGTCAGCGGTATATCTGGAACAAAAGTTTCACTGAAAATTGTTTCATTTTATTTAGATATTCCTCTCCCTGTCCTCCCCACTCTCCCTCACTTACCGGTGCCGGTGCCGGTGGTATTTTGTTACAGGAAGATGTCATGAAACCAACCTTTTGGTTACTTGTCAAAGAAATTTTAAAAAGCACCAGCAGCATTACTCTAGAGTTGAGAAAGAAACCTATACTTTCATCTTGGCATTGCAACAATTTTAGGTGAATTTTGGAACTATAATGAATCCTATTGAAGCGTTCACTGATCACAAATCTGCTGATTCTTCTTGAAATCATGCATCAAGGTCATTTGATCGGATCAGTACACACATGCAGTTGTGCTATTTATACAGGTAGCAAGTATTTTATGCTCTTTAGAAAAGTGATACAAGTAGACATTCTCCTTCAAAGTGTCAATGTCAACCTTTAGCCCGATGAATTGTTTTTACGCTGCCTGCTGGATAAGTTTTATGCAATAGGCGCTGTAAAGAGGGTGGGTGGTGTTAAACGGTCGGTGCTTCATTAAACAAGGGACATTTGAACCACTATTTTGCACATTAATACCTGATAGAAAATTACACATTGTCATATAAAAATATCCTGACATACAGGGGTTAAGACAAAAGCAAACGTAAAAATTGTAAATGTTCTAACTAACCTGAACTACGTTATTGAAAGTGGTTTGCGTTTCATGCTAGGAACCGTTTTACATCGTTATATTTGTGCAAATTGATTTCAATAATCAGATTTCCGACATCTTTATTTTAACTGAGTATAAATTCGATTTTTTCATCTGCAAATAACAGCACGATTGCAAATTATGAACCATTTCAGTAAATATATTTTCAAGGTCATCATGTCAGTTGCTGAAATACGAACATTGGTGTTAATCTAAAGTGTCAGGTTATAAAAGAAACAATTAATCACTCATAAATATTAACCAATCCTTATTTCAAGTGTTTTGATTGAATATTTACGATATACAGATTACAAATGTCGTGTCGTGTCGTGATGCTAGCAGACGTACGATAATCGAACACTGCGCGCTTCGCTCGACCTCAGCATAACATATTGCTATTTTAATGTCAATAGAGTTACAATGCCTTCATAAATATGCCTTGGCGAAAGTTGCCTATCTTCTCAATCGAAGAATGTTTCACTTGTCATTTCCCGTTTATTATGAAGAGAGATAGATTCTGATAGCAATGTTTCAGGAGTGTTCTGTTGATAATCTTTCCTAACAAAACAATAACAGTAAATTTTGAAATATTTTGCCTGTCACATAGAAAATTAACACAAACTAATACATAGTATCAGAAACCTCCATTAATATGAAATAACAATGTCACTTTGACGATATAACTGGCGTATTATTTTATCCGTTTGACCTTGCATGCACCTGTGAGCCGGAAACGGTAGAGGATGACTTTATTTGAACTTTTGTTGATATTTAAGGATCAACAGTCGAAGTTACGTTGAATGTAAATGGATATGATTCATCTTTCTGCCATGTACACGCCGATACTTTTGTTTTCACTTTAATAATTGTGTTCCACGCAATAACTCTATCGGCATCGTCGATCAGCAATGATCACACTCCACAGCAGATGCGCGAAAATGAGCGTGACAACACGTGTTTCAAAATAACATTCATGCGTTGCTGAATATGATAGGATAAACGCAACTGTGTGATATATATATATATATATAAAATACCACATGTATATTTTCAGTGTTAGTTTCACAATGAATTTGGGATAGTTTTCCTTTTATAGATTCTAGCATGATTATTGAACAATTTCACCGAGCATTTTAAAATTTATTCCTAAAATATGATGACCGTAATGATTGCGTATTGATGATAGATCTGTTAATATTTCATTTTTTACAGCTGTTCACAGCTTTAAAAATTTAAGTTATATTCATATTTTTAGTTATTTCTTTTACCACAATGATTATGTGTATGGACACTATACATTGGTCAATGCAACAGCACAGTGTAACTGAACAAACGTCAATTATTATTTTCAGTTCAAACATATTTTTATTCAACAATTATTATCTTTCACCTGACCATCAATTATGGGAAGAAGTTACTATTTGATGTCATTACTTAATTCTGGTAGTCCATGAATAAGACATAAATAGATAAGATCCTTAACATGTACATACAAAACTCATTTGGACATTAATCTTGTGCATTAAGAGGTAAGTTTCCAAACAAAACAATTCTAAAAACTAATTGTAACATGAATATGATACATTAATTTCCTGAAACAGTACATGACATTTTTGTTTGTTTAATCACAAGGACCAGGGTGACACTTAAGCTGGTGAATTAGCCATATGATTTATAAGAAAATTTTATCTTTTGGGCACATCGACAATTCTTGCAGTTGTGTTCTGTTGGAGATAAGTGCATGGAAAATATCACACCTGTATTTTCTTCTGGGTTTTCACCAATGAAATATTATGTAATTAGTCTGGCAGGACTTTCCAGTTTTATTGCAGTATGCTCAGGTGTGTGACAGTGACGATCATGCATATCTCTAAAGGAAATGAACCATTGTGAACTGTGGTCAACAGGTTTTCGTTAGTCAGTCAGTGTGATGTACAACAATTCAAAATAAATTCAGATCATCACCAGCCTTGGATCGAACATCCTTGATTATTTCATAGGTTTCTTAACATCCAGTCAGTATAGGTCCATGTCATGTTCCATCTGTCTCAGCCTTCTGGGTGGAGTGAAAAGAAATGTCCCTGTATACATGATTACCCTTGTCGGATGTATTTTATCCTGTCAGACACACTCCATGTCACCTTATGTGGTTTATTTTGCGCATACATGTACTGCTGAAAACCTTTTTTCCCTATGCAATCACTAAATTGTCCTTCTTGCAATGACAGACCAATAGCAATATTATGTTTTTGTTATTATTGTAACATATCAATATGTTATATCGCTCTTCACTGCCGTCGTTTTCAGAAAATATTTCTTAAATCGTCGAGCGTTGAATCCAGTACGGTTTTGGAGACAGACTTACAAATTTGATGTTAAGCGTCCGCGGCAATCACGACAAACTATGAAACATAGAAGTGAAGACTGCTACCCAGGTCAATACAAAGTAAACAGGTGACGAAAAATAGTAAATTATGTAATTTCGTTTGAATTTGAATTTATTTCGGAATTTTCTTGATGATAGCTAACTTTTGCATATTTTGCCTCGATGTTTGACATGCGGGTACGTGCTTCCGGTTTCAGAAATGACCGATAAAATTGGAAATATTTTGATTATTTTTCGTAATCTGCATTATTTTACTATTGAATGGTTTACCTATAATGTATTCCAGTTACTATTTGTCATTATTCGTAGTTTTTGTTGACTTTGTTAAACTGAGCAAATCGCGAGTTATGCCACGCCCAAACGTGTAACTACGCTTATCAACAGCATGTGAAGGCCGAAAAGTTTATCAAACGAAACGTTTGCAAACTCGATAAAAATGAGATATTTTTACAAGGATTTATACATTCGTGTACACAATTCTAGAAAATCAATTTGGATATATAAAAGGATTGTAATAGTATTACAGGATCACGATGCATGTTGAGTTGTTTGTTTACCGCCGTTGCCATGATCGTACAACTTTCATCCAATCGATAATGGTATGATTCAGATTGGTTTTGCTTGTAATTAATTATCCTGAAAGTTGCTAATCTTTAGCAATTAAGGAACTTGATTGTTTTCTTTTCAGTAGGTAACACAAAATTATGATCAATGAGAAAAATGATAAAATTGTACATAAAATATCGGACTGCATGCCGCTCAACGTAAAGTGCCAAAGTCAACAATGGCCGTTTCTGGTAGTTATGTGCCAAGAAATATGGCTAATACTTTCTTGACTCGAGATGTTTTCTTTTTGAGGTAAATAAACTACAGAAAGTTTTCATATTTTGCAAACTGAGTATTTATGCATACCATACGTATTATAAATGACATTTTTAAAAGTAATCCCATATATGATCAACAACGGACAAATGTATCAGAGAAGGCAATTTTTAATCATTAGTGTCCAAAGAAGGATTTCAATTAACGCTGGTAACCATAATTTGTTCCAAGCACCTACGGTATTCGGTAATAACATCAACAGTTTAAATCATAAGTCCCAAGCACGAGCATGTGATGGCACACAAGATCAGTAGCGTGTATGGCCACCATGTGCTTTGACAACTGCCACACAACGCCTCCGCATGGACCTTGTGATGCTTGTGAACACATGATTGGGAAGACGACGCCATTGTTGCTGCAAAATGATGCCAAGATCTTGCAAATTCTGTGGTTGGTTCTGGAGAGTGCGCAGACTTCTGCCAAGAGCATCCCAGACGTGTTTGATGGGATTGAGGTCGGGAGACCTTGACGGCCAGTCCATGACGTTGACTCCCGCGTTCTGAAGGAAATTCCTTGTCCAAATAGCTGTGTGGGGTCTGGCATTGTCGTGTTGGAAGATCAAACCGGGTCTATGTGCTGCCATAAAAGGCAGAGGTTCTGGTGCCAGTACCTGGTGGCGGTAAGCAGCAACGTTGAGGTTGCAACTGATGACAAGAAGCCTGGAACGTGCATTGCCACAGAAAGCACCCCACACCATGACACTTCCGCCTCGAAATCTGTCAACTTCCTGTACACAACACTGGGCGTAAAGTTCATGACGGCGCCTCCACACCCTCGCCCTACCATCAGCAAGTCGAAGATTAAATCGGGATTCATCATTAAAGACGACTTGATTCCAATTCCTCTGATTCCATCGTAAGTATCGCTGTGCCCACAATTGACGTTGACGTCTGTGTATTCTCAGACGGTTTCGAATAGTTTGCGCACTCAGTCTACTCTTAAACAGTTCATTTCTGGTTGATGTAACCGTCGAAAAATCGGTTACGTAGGGACGTAAGACAATCTGACGATCCTCTGCATGTGACGTCACACGTGGTCGAC